ATATCACAGAATATTAGGAAGCTCCAGCATCTCAGGGATGGGGAAGGACCAAGGAAAGAGCCAAGGATAACATCCAGATTATATTACTGGTCCACTATGAAGCCCACTACCCAGATTTCTGGGCAAAAGAAAAAGGATATGCTGCTCAAGGTCTGACTGATAGAACTCCCAGCAGTGGTACCTCTGAAAATGCTGAGTTCACCACACTGTTTTCAAATCTGTAAAACAGGTATAGTAAGACTATTTACTTCATTTTGAAGATTTGATAACACTGTGTATAGCAATACCCCAGTATGGCATTTGGCACTGCGTAAATGCTCAGTTAATGTTTCCTCTTCATTTACTCCTTCATGTTCTTCTACATTAACTTCTCCTTTATCTTCTTTTTTCTTCTTTTCTTTTTCCTTACCTTCTTCTCCCTCCTCCTTTTTTCTCACTTCTTCACTTCTCTTCCATCCGCTTTCTTCTTCCTCATTCCTTCTTTCTCTTCCTAAGAGTTGGTCAGAGGCAGCGTATGACTAGTTCTGCCAACGGAAACAATTTTCCCTGTTTCTGGGACAGGAGGTGTCATGGTGTACAGTGCCAAAGAGCTATTATTTAGTTGGATAGTATCATAAATTAATAAATGCTCAATACCCCTCTTTCTCCTTTCTTTCCCCCCTCCACTCCCAGTGGCATCAAATCTGGAATGGGCTATCTTCATATCAGATCCAGGAAAAATGGAAGCGAGTTGCACTAGAGAATATAAACCCTATGTGAGGAGGGACTTTGTTTAACATCTTTTTTTGAGATCTAATTACATACATCAAGTTTACACTGAAAGTATATGATACAGTAGTTTTTAGTATATCCAGTTTTGTGACTATCACACAAGTTTAGAATACTTCTCTCAGCCCCAAGGAAACCCCATCTCTATTGGGGTGTCACTCCTCATTCCCCCCACATCCAGCCCTAGGGAACTTCCTATCTACTTTGCGTCTCTATGGATTTGCCTATTCTGGATATCTCATGTCAATGGAATTATACAGTATGTTACTTCTTGTGACTAGCTTCTTACACTTGGCATGTTTTCAAGGTACATCCATGTTGTGGTATGTGTTAGCACTTCATTCTGTTTTCTGGCTCAATAATAATCCACTGTGTGAGCATATCACATTTTCTTTATCCATTCATTAATTAAGGACATTTGGGTTGTTTCTGTTTTTCAATTATTATAATAGTGCCTTTATGAACCTTCATGTACATTTCTGTGTGAATATATGTTTTCATATTTATTGGGTAGATATCCAGGAGTGGAATTTCCAGGTCATGTTAATTCAGTTTAACATTTTTTTTTTTTTTTGAGACGGAGTTTCGCTCGTTACCCAGGCTAGAGTGCAATGGCGTGATCTCGGCTCACTGCAACCTCTGCCTCCTGGGTGCAGGCAATTCTCCTGCCTCAGCCTCCTGAGTAGCTGGGATTACAGGCACGCGCCACCATGCCCAGCTAATTTTTTGTATTTTTAGTAGAGACGGGGTTTCACCATGTTGACCAGGATGGTCTCGATCTCTTGACCTCGTGATCCACTCGCCTCGGCCCCCCAAAGTGCTGGGATTACAGGCTTGAGCCACCGCGCCCGGCTGAGGGCAGGGATTTTTATCTGGTTTGTTCATCGCTGATCCAGTGCTGACATACGGTAAACTTACAAGTATTTATTAAATAAATGGAATATATGAATTAATAGTTGTCTGGTAAAGATATAATTTTTCCTTATATATGTAAACATGAATAAATAAATTTATACATCTGTAAATATATGCATTATAGATGTACGTAGTATCTCTCTCTTTTACCAGATAGGATCTCTCTTTTACCCAGGCTGGAGTGCAGTGCTATGATCTTGGCTCACTGTAGTTTCCACCTCCTGGGCTCAGGTGATCCTCCTACTTCAGCCGCCTGAGTAGCTGGGGCCACAAGTGTACGCCACTATGGCTAGCTATTTGTTTTTGTGTTTTTAGTAGAGATGGGGTTTCATGATGTTGCCCAGGTTGCTCTCAAATTCCTGAGTAATCTGCCTGTATTGGCCTCTCAAAGTGCTGGGATTACAGGTGTGACCCCTGTACCCAGCCAACAAATTTTTGTTTAAACATTACATATGGCATATAGTTTTTTAGACTGGTAACTTATGTTTGTTAAGAAATGGAGTTTTACAATTCTACTCTAGCTGTACATTCCTGGGAAAGAGGTTTTTTTGTGTGTGTGTTGTCCTGTGTGCCATTTTCTCACTCAGAAAGAAAAAGAAATTAACTAAGCATGAAACTTAAGTGTGATAAAATTGTATGTGGCAATACATGTATACAATCATATAGGGAACATGTTAAAGTGCTAAAAAATAGGAAAGTAGTTTCTTTATTGTTATCTTCCAGTCTGTTGCTAGCTCAGTAGCTAGAAGATGGAGGTTTAGGACATAAAATATGAGAAAGTAATTTATGAATGACAATCTAGATGAAGTTGTAATTTTAGTTAATTTGCCATTCTCTCACTTTTGCCACCATATTTCTGTGGTTGAGCTTGCATGATGGTGTGCATAGTGATCAATTACTCTTACGTGATAGGAATTCCTTCTCCTGGTTGGAATATAGACAAGCACAGAACAGACACCTTGTCTTGAAGATCTTTAAATTCCTGGAATCCAGCCCACAGTCAGGTAAATAGCAGAGATTCAACACAGGTTTTGAGTGTCAGTGAATAAATGGGTGAGCATTTTTTACATGATTTTTGTGTTTATGTGCTTTTTTTTGTAGATGGTTTTAATAACTTAGTTCAAAACCATGCATACATGTGTGTGTATATATGTATACAACTCTCTTTTTATACACACACACAGACACACACACACACATATATACACACACACATACACACACACAAATAGAATAAGTATAAACATAGCTTTCTTTGGGTACTATGATCATGAGTGGTTGTTATTACCTTGTTAGTAATTGCATATATTTTCTTACCATATTTAAAGTTTATTTTATTTTAAAATACTTAATTAAAAATAAAGATTGAATATATTCAAGGCATACAAGGTTATAGCAATCAAATTAACACATCCATCACCACCCATGTTGTATATTAGGTTCTCTGAACTTACCTTATAACTGAAAGTTCATACTCAACATTTCCCCATTTCTGTCACTGCCAAGCTCCTGACAATTAACATTCTACTTGTTGCTACTTGAGTTTGGTTTTTTTAGAGTCCACATATAAGTGCAATCATACAGTATTTGTCTTTCTGTGTCAGGCTGATTTACTTTAGCATAATGTCCTCCAGGTTCATCCAAATTGTCACAAATGGTAGGATTTCCTTCTTTATTTATGGCTGAGTAAATTCTACTGTATATATGTACCACAATTTCTTTATCTTTCATTCATTGGTGAATACTTGGGTTGATTTCATATCTTGGCTATTGTGATTAATGTAATGAACTGAAGTTATTTTCCTATTTCTTTGCAAAAAAAAAAAACGTGTATTGCACCATTGGTCAGGAAATATGTAATAAATGCATTTTTGAAAAGAAAAAAATTTTATAGGTGCTTGATGATGTTTTTGACAATAAAGAGCTGAGTTACTTTGTTTGTATATGAGTTTTAAAGATCATAGCTTTAGAATATGTTTTAAAATAAAATAAATAAAAATACTATTTTAAAAGAGTATTTATCCATGTATGTATAGAGGAGGAAAAAAAATTAAAATGGAAGAAAATTTAAAGATAAGCTAAGATATGTATCATATAATATGGAGTTAAAACCTTAGGATATAAATTCTGGGAAAAATGTATACATAATACACAAAAATATTAATATTAATGCTATTTATTTCTGAATTTTGAAGTTACAAATAGTTTTATTTTTTCTCTGTACTCTTATTTTTCAAAATTATATATAAGCACACAATTGCTATTACAACCTGAAAAATTATTTGTAGAGCTTATTACTTTTTACTAAAGAATGTCTTTCTGAAATATACATTTGAACTTTGATTACTATTTAGTAAAATATTAATAAGCAGAATTTTGCAATTTGTTAAAGTGAAAAAAATGTACTTTCAGAAAACAAAACAAAATAACCAAGACATTCTTCCATTGGTAAATAGATAAATTGTGGTACATCCAGACAAATGAATATTATTCAATGCTAAAAAGAAATGAGTTATCAGTCTGTGAAAAGACATGGAGGAACCTTAAATGCATATTGCTAAGTGAATGAATCCAATATGAGTCTGAGGTTGCAGAGAGGAAGTGATGAATGAGCAGTTAAAGTATTCTATGTAATATTATAATGGTGTGTGGACGTTACTCTACCTTTGTCAAAACCTCTAGAATGTACATCATCAAGAATGACCACTAATGTAAACTATGGGCTTTGGGTGATAATGACATGTCAATGTTGGCTCATTGATATTAACAAATGTACCCCTCTAGGGGAGACTGTGCATGTGTAGGGAGAAGGAAGCATATGAGAACATTCTGTAATTTCTGCTGGATTTTGCTGTAAACCTAAAGCTTCTCTAAAACATAAAGTAAGATTAAAAAAAAAATCAGTGAATCATATTTAGTATTCCTACTTTCAATGAATTATATTTGGGGATTTCTTCTGGAATTTTTGTTTGCTTTTGCTTTTAACTTGCTTTGAAAAATGCTGCATTGAGAAAGCATTTCACAGTTGCTTCTTAAATATTCAAGAATGTGTTCCTCCCCTCAGCTGAGATATTTGACCTTCAGCCTCTTTGTGTTAGAATATAAGAATGGAAAGTGTAATTGTCCCAAGGAATCAAGTAAACATCTTATTAGAAAATCTGTTGAAAAAATTTTGGCACAGTTGGTGTTCTGGGTGTGTTTGAAATACATGTAAGGAATGGCTCATATATAAACTTTGTCCATGTATGATGGGCTAAATTTGGTATCAGAATAGGTTTTGAGAAATATATATATATATATATACACACATATATATATATTTAGCATCTATTCATCTTATTTCTGGTGATGACATGCTGATTTTGCTCTGGAGAGGCTGCCCATTGCTTTATTCTCAGCCCGTGTGGGACTCCACTCCGAAGATCAGGCCCACAGAAAGTGACTCATACCCATTCTAATCAGAGCACCCACAGTGACTGGCTCACAAATGGGCTCAATGAGTGCTCAGAACAAGGAATTTCTTAAGTGACTAGAATGAGGTGGAGAGGTAGAGGGAGAGAGAGAGAGTGAGTGTGTGTGTGTGTGTGTGTGTGTGTGTGTGTGTGTGTGTGTTTTGCAAAGTGAGCATGAATTCCAGAGCCTCGTTGCTTAGGCTTGAATTCCAGTTCTCCACTTCCACCACCAACCAGCTAGGTAAACTTGGAAAAGTCACTCTTCCTCTCTGGGCCTCAGGTCTCAGTCTCTTTCCTGTAAGATGGCGTCACGGATACCACCTACCTCATGGGGAGGTTCTTATGAGGATTGAATAAGTTAACTTTTGTGCAGCGTGGTATGGTGTTTGTCTCAACATTTTCACTTAGACACGTAACAGGCATCTTAAGCTCAACATACCCCAGATGAATTCTCCTCTCACAGTCTTTCTCTACTCAGTAAATAACAACTCCATCCTTAAAGTTGCTCAAGCCAAAAATCATGGAGTTGTCTCTGACCGCTCTCATTATCTCTTTACTCCATCGACAAATCTTGTCTGCTGTACTTTTAAAATATATTCAGAATTTAATTGCATCTGCTGATGCCAACCCAGTTCAAGGCACCATCATCCCTTGTCTGGATTATGGCACCATAGCTTCCAAAATGGCCTTATTGTTTCTGTCCCCACCTCACTTCCGTTTCCGCTCAACACACAGCCAGAGTGAGCCTGACAAAACATGTCAGGAGATGTCACTTTTCTCCGCTAGTGTTTAGCTATCTCTGGGTCCCCGACGCACACACAATTAATTACACCTCTATTTTCATCTCCCACTTATTCTCTCTTTATTCTTCCTGTACCATGGACCTGTTACTTGACCTCTGCTGTTCTCTGAACACACCAGACTTGCTTCTGCCTTAGGGCCTTTGTAATTGCTCTTCTCGGTCTGGAGCCCTGTTTCCCCAGATTTCACCTCCCTGTATGCAGACTTTTACCCAAGTGCCACCCTCTGTGTGAGACCTTCCTTGGTCCTTTATCCAAAATTGCAGCCCTCCCCACAGTCCTTATCCCGTTCCTTGCTGAGTTCCCTTCTTAGCCCTCATCACCACCTCACATATGCTATGGTTTACTTATCTTGTCTATTATACATCTATTCCACTTTAAAATATAAACTTCTGGGGACTGAATTTGCTTGACTGCTATAAACCCAGAACCTAAAACAGCTCAGTAAATATTTAATGCATGAATGGATGAATAAGGGGATGTAAGTAAAAAGAATTGCATTGAAGTATGATACTCATCAACAAATAGTTACGCAGTGCCCTCTAAGCACCAGGGACTTGCTAGCCACTGAAGATGCGCCTGAGACTAAGATTGTTTGGTTTCCTTCTACAGTCTAATAGGGGATGGAGGTGGGGTGGCAAAATTTTCTGAAAAAACCAGAAAGTATAGAATGCGTATGGTTATCCATGATACGAGCTTGTAATTCAGATGTGAAGGCCTGTAAAACATGTCTCACATTTGGAGTGTCTAAGCTGTTACCTGAAGGTTAAGGAATAGTAGCTGAGTGAAAGAGGCGGGGCAGTGGGAGAGCCGAAAAGTCACCAGATCTGTTAAGCTGTAGTCAGACCTAAGGGAGGATGTGGCTGAGAAGTTGACTTCTCATGAGCTCCTATCTTTACTCCTATTTTACTTAAATGAATATATATATATATATTTTTTTCCACTGAAAAAATATATATTTTCCATGAGTATGTATACGTATTTTTTTCCATTTAAGTAAAGATATATTTTTCTGTATTATTCTTTCTACTTCACTGTGTACACACGATTCCTGCCAGGCCATATCTCCTCTTCCAAACCACCAGAGCCCAGACTCCAATACCAGCTTTCCACCCCCACTAGCCCTTTAAGCCTGAGCATCTCATGTAATCTCCCTGTGGCTCAGCCTTGCTGCAAGAACATGGGAGTGTATACATGGGAAAGTGTATACCTGGGAAAGCCTCTAGACATGGGGGTGCCGTCTGTTTTCAGTTCCCCCACTAGAAGGTCAGCTCCATGCCAACAGGGCAATTGCTTGCCTTTGTTCACCAGAAATACCAAGTTCTCTGTCCCTAGCACCAGAGCCATGCCCAGTATGTGGCTGGCACTCAAGCAATGCCTGCAGAATAAACAACTGCCTCTCCCATGGTTCAAACTCAGCAACAACAGGCTGGACATTCACCAGCAGATCCAGATTCTTCATCGGATTCACCAGCTAAAACCATCTGTCAGGCGGCCAACAGCATCTTTTGCTCATTTGCTGAGGAATAAGGCACAATGTTAAAGGGAGAAAAGGGAGATGCTACAATTCATTACCTAATTCTTGTTTTTTTTCTTTCAACAATAATTGCTAACATTTTTGAGCGTCAGTCCTTTGTGAACAATACCCTCACAACACTGCCATCATGTAAACATGTGATGATTTTCATATTGTAAATGTGAAAACAAAGACTTACAGTTGACAGACCAGTCTGTTCTCAAAGGGGATTTAGGGTGTATAGCGGGAACTTCTGGAAACATGCTCTTGGGTGCAGGTCTGTGGCAGCTGTCAGGAGACCTTTGTTTTTTTTTCCCCAAGCTAAATTGTATTTAGCTTTGCTAGAGATACTGTCCATCAACAGTCATGGTATTTCAGCAGGACATGGCTAGACAATCATAAACAGTATACGACAACTTTCAAACTTTCTTCCTCCATAAACTACCAAAAATCAGGAAGCAACTGTAAAACCCATGAAGTCTTTGACTGACGCCCTGAACAGGGAAAGTTTAGATTGACAATTGACATTTCACATTTGCATGCTGTCTAACAGCTTCTCACGGGCCAACTCTGACTTTCAGGAAGTGAAATAAAAATGGCAGAATTTATCTGAAGATCCACAATCTAGAATCAGAACTGCTACTCCTTTGAGGGGCACCATCTCAGAGGCCTCACTGGAAAGTCCAGATTGCCTGACACACTGGTAACCATTATTGGGGGTCAGGTCCCCATAGGTGTCTGGGTTTATGGGAGTTAAGGCTACACTGAAAGATGGAAAGGAAGAAGACGTAAAAACGAATAAATTTGTTTTTTCATACCATAAGACTTTTGTGCCAAGGTGACCATGTGGTCAAAGTCAGGGAATCCCTCCTCCTGGGAGCCAAGAGGAAGTCTTTCCAAACTAGAAGGGGGCTGGGCATGGTGGCTCATGCCTATAATCCCAACACTGTGGGAGGCCGAGGTGGGCAGATCACTTGAGGTCAGGAGCTCGAGATCAGCCTGGCCAACATGGTGGAACTCCTTCTCTACTAAAAAAAAAAAAAAAAATTAAAAACTTGAAGGGAAAGGTGTTTTCCCCACATCAGTCCAGTTTCAGAGACAGTCTATTAGTGACATATGCCCCTTCCTCCAAAAACAACAATAAAGTGTTCTGTGTAATAACAACATAGCTTTAAAAAGAGTAAAACAAAATTCTGATTTTTATAGAACTTGATAAAAAGTAGTATTTCAAATTGTACAGCCACCAGAAGTACACAGTTTTCAAAAATGCACACACTCCCCTCGGCAACCCCAGCAGCTTCAGCTTCCTGTGCCTGGTCTGTTCAAGCATCTCCCTTTTTGGCAGGGTTATCCCCTCCTTGCCAGCATCAGCTTTTCCCTTTTTTCCCTTTGGGTACCTTCTCTCCCTTCTCTGCAGGTGCTTTTTTAGGCTTCGGCTCTGGCTTTGGAGGGGCAGGGTTAGCAGACAACTTGCAGATCTGCTATGCGGTTCATCCTTCACCTTGGTCTTATCTCCTTTAGCACCGCTTTCAGCCATTCTCTCAGGCATGCTGGCACCGGCGATGGGACGTAGGAACTGGGTGCGGGATGCAGCAGCCTGTGGACTTTGGTTGGTCCAGGGATTGTTCTCGCCTTTTCTTCACACTGCTCCTCTCACAAGGCTTTGAGTGTCACCAGGAAGCTCAGAGTTGATCTGTTTTCTTTAGGGAGGTCTTTGTCTTCTCAGTATGTTTTGTGTCTCCTCAAGTCAAGATACCATCACGAAAAGAAGAATGGATAAAGGCTGAATATCAAAAACAAAAGAAAAGCATGCGCGTTGATGCCACACAGATCACACCTGTGACCTACTTCTTTCTAACAGATTCATGTAAGACAGCTGCATGATTTCTCCTCCCACACCCTAAACCAAGCAAGGCTGCAGCTTGTATTACTACTCTTTCTGCATTTTTTTTTATTTAATTTTGAGACAGAGTTTTGCTCTTCTTGCCCAGGCTGGAGTGCAGTGGTGCGATACAGGTGCACCGCCTCACCCAGCTAATTTTTGTATTTTTAGTAGAGACAGGGTTTCACCATGTTGGTCAGGATGGTCTCAATCTCTTGGCCTTGTGATCTACCTGCCTCGGTCTCCCAAAGTGCTGTGATTACAGGTGTGAGCCACCACGCCTGGCCCTCTTTCTGTATTTTTAATGAAATAAGAATAAATAGAACTTGGCAAGATGCCTCAAAATGCTTTTAATTCACTTGGGCTCCTTCTTTCCTTCTAGACTTCCTTGTTTATTTCATCAGAGTAAAGATAGGGGTTCATGAGAAGTCAACTTCTCAGCCACATCCTTCCTTAAGTCTGACCGCAGCTCAACAGATCTCACTGTTTAGCTCTCCCACTGCCCCACCTCCTTCACCCAGTCACTACTCCTTGACCTTCAGATGACAGCTTAGACACTCCAAATCCAAGGCATCTTTTACAGGCCTTCATGTCTGGATTACAAGCTCGTATCATGGATAACCATATGCATCCTATACTTTCTGATTCTTGGGAACAGTTTTGCCACCTCACCTCCATCCGCTACTAGACTGTAGAAGGAAATCAATCTTTGTCCCAGGTACGTCCTTAAGTCCCTGGTGCTTAGAGGGCACTGCACAACTATTTGTTGATGAGTATCGCACTTTAATGCAATTCTTTTTTTACTTCCACCCCCTTATTCATCCATTCATACACTAAATATTTACTGAGTACCATGCACTGTTTTAGGTGCTGGGTATATAGCAGTTAAGCAAATTCAGTCCCCAGAAGCTTATATTTTAAAGGGGAATAGACATGTAATACACAAGATAAGTAAACTATAGCACATGTGAGGTGGTGATGAGGGCTAAGAAAGGAACTCAGCAGGGAGCAGGACAAGGACTGGGGGGAGGGTTGCAATTTTGGATAAAGGACCAGGCAAGGTCTCACTCAATATTCAATACCTGGACTAAAATATGAAAAGAAAATACATATTTCATTATATATTTTTATTATATATATATATATACATAAATATATATATATATAATGAATATAATATTTTGTAATCATTTTTAAAGCTATCAAAGATTAGATGAAAAAGGAAAGATACCACCAAAATGTTAATGGTAGTTGGGCTATGAGGGGGAGCATTTTTCTTCTTTTCTCTATTTCCACTTTTTAAAATGTTTTTGTTTTGTTTTGTTTTGTTTTTTTAGACAGTCTCCGTCTGTCACCCAGCTGAAGTGCAGTGGGGCAGTTTCAGTTTATTGCAACCCCCACCTCCTAAACTCAAGTGATTCTCCTGCTTCAGCCTCCCGAGTAGCTGGGGTTATAGCTAACTTTTGTATTTTCAGTAGAGTCGTGATTTCACCATGTGGGCCAGGCTAGTCCCCAACTCTTGACCTCAAGTGATCTACCCGCCTCAGCCTCTCAAAGTGCTGGGATTACAGGCATGAGCCACCAAGCATGGCTAAAATGTGATTTTTTTTTAATTGAATGATTTAAAAATTTCTAAAGAAGTTGGCCAAAGAAAGAACACGTGTAATTTTTATTCTAGAACCAGTGTATTTACTAACCAGCTCTGTGGTCTGGAGATAGTCATGCCTCTTGTCCCCAGGTGTCCCCAGATCCACCCTGTTGTTCTCCCTAAAGTTACGCTTAAATGCTGTTCCTCCTTTTTGCAAACCTTGTTTGCCCTTCAGCAGCATGCTGTAGTGTCACCGTCTTTTCAAAGCCTTCCTAAAAACTACTCCAATTCATTGTGATTCCCCCTGTTTGATACATCAGCACTAGAATATTAGTGCTTATTTCTTGAATACTTGCTAGGGGCCAGGCATTCAGCTAAGTTCTCTATATACATTACCTGATTCAACTCTCAAAGGATTCAATGACAATGCCCACAGATATTTTTCAGCCTGTTCGACAGATGAGGAACTTGTCCTTCAGAGAATCTTTATTATTTGACCAAATAGTAAAGCCCACCCCGGCCCACCTGACCACAAAGTGCTCTTAAGTGCTGTGCTGCACTGAGATTCCTCAAGACCCATTTATTTCTGTGCCCTCAATACTCAACACAGTACCTGGCCCATGGTGGTGGGTCCTTAATATTTGTGGCATGAACGAATGTCAGAATATGCTGTTTTTCAAGCCTCAGTGCAGTATAACTACGCACAAATAAGTCTGCACTAACGATATTATCATATGTTGAGTGTCTAGCCTGTTCTAGGTGTGTATATTATCTCAATTAATCCCCACTGCAACCTGATGAGTAGACAATACACTGTACCCATTTTACAGATGAGAAAGTAGAAATTCCAAAATGTTAGTAACTTGCCCCAAATCATATCACAGCAACAGGGTGTAGTAGGAAGATCTGGGTAGTTTCTTGTGCAATTCTTTTCTTCTACCCTTCAAATATGCCAGAGTATTAGATGTTTGTAGCCAAGCATCTTACCTGAAGAAAGATAAAGTGAAAAAAGAGAATATTCACAACGAAGTGATGTAGCAGAAGTAAAGGGCTATAGATTTTCTTTAGGTTTTATTCACTCAGAGTTTATTACATTTCACAGGAAGAGGAACTAAAATCTGAAGTTGCCCCAAATCCCTGATGATTAATAATCAGAAATGAAGACAAACAAACTTGAAACTGTAACTGTGTGAGTGTTGAAAAACCCACATTCTCGGGCACAGTCCCTCACAACTGGTATCACCTCTTTGGTTGGCAATATCTTTCAAAATTTTAAGTGCTTGTGCCTTTTGACCCAGGTAGTCTACTTTTAGGAGTGCATGTACTCAAACACCTAAAAATATATGACACAAGAATATTTATGGTAGCATTTTGTGCCCATTTATATAGGTCTAGTTAAGTAAACTCTAGCATAACATACAATAGAATTCTAGGGGTCACCTAAAAGAATTGGGTAAGCAACATGGGCTGATATTTAATATCTTCAACATATATTACTATGTGAAGAAAGTCAGGTAACAATAGGGTATATCTGATGCTATAATTTTATGGAACAATGAAGATCTCTCTCTGTGTGTGTGTGTGTGTGTGTGTGTGTGTGTGTGTGCGTGCGTGTGCTGCTTGTTCATTAAAATGGGAAGAGAGGAGTTCAGGGAAGAAGAAATAATTGTTTCTGAATCTAGCACTTTGATCTATTTGACGTTTATTCCATGTGTGTTTATCATATTTATTGTCAGAACCAAATAGCCTTTTCAAAGGGGTGTGTTTTGTGGCAGATCTTAAGTGTTTCGTTTCACAAGCTGGAAAGCTATAAATTTCGCAAGATGGGAAGCTGAACTATAAAGTTCAGTTTTTGTAAAGAACAGGTGGAAAACCTTCCTGCATGGTAACTGATTTTGTACCTTGCACTATAAGCCTATAGGCCTCATGAAAGAAAGCACATGCCCAGAACGAGGGAGTAGAAGAAGGCAGGGAACCAGTAAGGTCAGAAATGACAGAAATGAATCCGGGGGCAAAATCCACATTTCTCAATCATTCACAAACTCGTTTGTTCAGCCAGCATTTATAGATATCAACTTGATTCCAGGGTACTAAGAGAATAAATTTCAATTGCTGCCAACCTAGCCTTGTGGAAACTTCTGGTCTCCTGAGGAGGAAACACGTCAAAGAAATTCTCAGAGTGTGCATTCCTGGGCTAGGTGGTCTAGACCAGAGCCTCTGAGATAGGCATTGTCTCAGGAGATCTGCTGGCATCTATGTTATTCAGCAAGAAGTGTGTACAACAACTTGCAGATAGAACCTAGCTTGGGAGCTGAGTGGGGTTAGAAAAGGCTTCCTGAGGATGTCGCATTAGAGCTGAGACATGAAGGGGCAGTAGGAGTCAGCAGGGTGAGGGCATGACATCTGTGAAGGCCCAGGGGAAGAGGAGACCTTGGGCTGGTTGGGGGCAGAGAGAAGGCCAGCAAGAGCGGAGAAGCATAGGAGTTGTTGGGGACAGAGGTTCTCATGGTGGCTGAAGAAGCAGATACAGGCTGACCGAAAGGCTACTTGCCATATCCAGAGCAAGAGGGGAAGAAGTCAGAATTACATTGTAAAAGTTATGTCTTTAAAAGGGGTAGCTTGGAAAAAAAAACTCCACCAGCCTGGCTGTGGTGTAGACAATACATGGAGGAAGGTGGAAAGTGTGGATTGGGGAGAATGGTGGGGAAGCTCTTCCTGAGTGAGAGAGGAGGTGAACTTTCTCTTGGACTAAATTGGTGGTAGTGGAGATGAAGAAAATGGTTATTTAATGAACAATTTGCAGGCAGTAGGAACAAACGTCCATGTGTATATGTGGAATGAGGGGGAGGGAAGAGTCAAAGACTGAAATTCCTAGCTTGAGTAACTGCGGGTGATGTTAGCTCTTTTCACAGAAATGCCAAAGACCAGAAGAGGAGCTGGTTTGACAGAGAAAGTTCAACAGTTCAGTTTGGGACAGAGTGAGCCTGCATTGCCTATGAAAGCACTCAAGTGCAAATGCTATCTTCTTGTAACAACTGTTTGGTCCCTTCAGGACCTCCCAGCCATGAGCTCTCTCATCTTTTCGTGATCTCTCACCCTCCTTTTGCCCTCACTTCAGTTTCTGTGGGACTTAGATGCAATGGATCATTATTAAAATCCCATCCTTGAGGAGAGTGAATGGCTTGAATCCAGGAGTTTAAAATCAGCCTGGACAACATGGTGAAACCCCATCTCTATGAAAAAATACAAAAAAAGTTAGCCAGGTGTAGTGGTGCACACCTGTAGTCCCAGGTACTCAGGGGAATGAGGCAGTAGGATCGCTTGAGCCCAGGAGGCTGAGGCTGCAGTGAGCCATGATCTCTGCACTGCATCCAGAGCCTGGGTGACACAGCAATACCCTGTCTCAAGGAAACCCCCAAGAACAACAACAACAACAACAAAAAAGCACCAAAGAGCAAAGAACAAAAAACAGAAACAAAGCAACCCACAAAACCCAAAACAAAACCCATCTTTGCTTTAAGTTTATACTTCCTTGATTTTTTTTCTCCATTATACTTACTGGTGTTAGAGGCTGAATGGTGTACCCCCCAAATTCATATGTTGAAATCTTAATCCTTAGGACCTTAGAATATGACTGTATTTGAAGACAGGGTAATAGCTTTAAAGAGGTAGTTAAGTTAAAATGAGGTCATTAAAGTGTGCCCAAATTCACTATGACTGGTGTTCTTATAAAAAGAGGAAAATGGGACACACAGGAGTTCTGAGGGAAGACCATGTGAAGACAGAGTAAGAAGACAGCCACTTACAAGCCAAGGGGAGAGGCCTCAGAAGAAATCAGTCTGACGACACCTTGATTTTGGATTTCCAGCCTCCAGACCTGTGAGACGATATATTTCTGTTGTTTAAGCCACCCAGTTATAACACTTTATTACCGCAATCCTAGAACACAAGTACACGCATCAAACTTCCACCCTGGCAAACTCAGCTCTTCTCACTTTCACCCTTTATTTAAGCAGTGGGGAGTGGCTGGGGAAAAGAACACAACGTACTAACTGACCTTTTAAAAAAATTCCTGACCACTTGATGACACCCTGAGAACCCACAGTCCGTTTGCTCTCCTGGCCTCCTTCCAGGTCTACCAGCACCCCACCCACTCTCAGAAGATGACGTTTTTTTCTCATTTCACTGAGAAGCAGCAGAAAAGGGCATCCATATGTCATCATCACGAAATCCATGAACCTCCCAACCCCGAGAGCAGTGTTTTTCGTCTTTCTTCTGTGAGGTGGTGGAGCTCCTACCCACACTCTCACCTGTGCTTTGGAAACCTCTGATCAATATATGAGTCCAGAAGTTCGAGACCAGCCTGGGCAACATGGCAAAACCCTGCTGCTACAAAATAAAAGTAAATAAATAAATACAAAAAACTGGCCAGGCCCACAGTGGTGCACACCTGTAGTCCCAGCTACTTGGGAGACCAAGGCAGGAGGATCTCTTGAGCTCAGCAGGTTACGGGAAATTACTGGCACATCGTCAATTGTTGCTTGCCTACTTGGTCATCCCAGCATCCTACAAACACACTGTGATAATCTCACCTCAGAACAAAATACTCTCTCCTGACTGCCCAGCATCCTCTAGCTATGACTTTATTTCTCTATTCCACACATACAAACCCCAGCTAACTTACTGATACCACCTCTCTTCTCACATAGTCTCCTGAACCTACTGTAAGTGGGCTTTGTCCTCATTGTTCCTCTAAAATGATTCCTCTTGTCAATATCATCAATAACTTTCAGGGTACCCTTTCTCTTGTCTCAGGGGTCACCCTCCCCAGTTCTCTTTGCTGAGGGTCTCTCATCCTTCTGGCCTCTGCTAGAGGATTGGCTCATGGCTGACACTCTGAAACTCTTCTGTTTCTGCACACACTCTTCACAGGATCTTATATATGCTCTTGGCTTTAAAAACTGTCCAAAGCTAAAGCCTCCCTTATCATTGTCCCCAGCATTAATACCTTGCCCAAACTCCAGATGCTTATATCCAAGTGGCTACTTGATGCCTCCTGTACGGGGATAATACACATCTCAAACTTAGCACATCAAAAACAGAATTCTTGATTTATTCCTCTTCCCAAGACCAAATCTACTTTACCTCATGTTTTCCCATAGCTCTATATTGCAGTGGGCTCTTTCCTTTGGTCAGTTACACATGTAAAAAATCTTGGCATCATATTTGACTTTCTTGCAAATGCTACATCCAATTCATCAGCAAATCCTGCTGCTGCTACCTTCAAACTATATTCAGAATCCATCTTTTTTTCCTTTGCCATCTGTGTTACTTCTACTAGCTGTTCTCCATCCTTATCCTCCTACAATTTATTCTCAATACTAATGCCAGATTGAGCCTTTAAAATAATATGCCAGATCAAGTCTTTTGGTGACCTTGAATGGGTTAAAAATAAAATATACATGAATGGGTTAAAAATAAAATACAAATACAGACATATAGACCAACAAAACAGAATAGAGATCTCAGAAATAAGACCTCACATCTACAACCATTTGATTTTTGACACACCTGACAAAAACAAGCAATGGGGAAAGGATTTCCTATTTAATAAATGGTGCTGGGAAAACTGGCTTAGCCATATGCAGAAAATTGAAATTGGATCCCTTCCTTACACCTTATTCAGAAATTAACTCAAGATGGATTAAAGATTTAAATGTAAAACCCAAAACTATAAAAATACTAGAAGAAAATCTAAGCAATACCATACAGGACATAGGCAAAGATTTCATAATGAAAATGTCAAAAGCAATTGCAATAAAAACAAAAATGACAAATGGGATCTAATTAAACTCAGGAACTTCTGTGCAGCAAAAGAAACTATCATTAGAGTGAATAGACAATCTACAAAATGAGAATTTTCACATCTATCCATTTGACAAAGGTCTAATATCCAGAATCTTCAAGGAACTTAAACTAATTTGTAAGAAAGAAACAAATGGCCCCATTAAAAAGTGGGCAAGGGACAAGAACAGACATTTCTCAAAAGAAGACATTTATATGGCCAACAAACGTGAAAAAAAGCTCAACATCACTGATCATTAGAAATATGCAAACCAAAACCACAATGAAATACTGTCTCATGCCAGTCAGAATGGCAATTATTAGAAGGTCAACAGATCCTGGTGAGGCTGTGGAGAAATAGGAACACTTACACTGCTGGTGGGAACGTAAATTAGTTCAACCATTGTGGAAGACAGTGTGGGGATTCTCAAAGAACTAGAACCAAAAATATCATTTGACCCAGCAATCCCATTACTGGGTATATACCCAAAGGAATATAAACCATTCTATTATAAAGATACATGATGCATATGTTCATTGTAGCACCATTCACAATAGCAATGACATGGAATCAACCCAAATGCTCATTAATGACAGACTAGATAAAGAAAGTGTGGTACATATACACCAGGGAATACTGTGCAGCCACAAAAAGGAACGAGATCATGTCCTTTGCAGGAACATGGATGGAACAGGAAGTCAGCATCCTTAGCAAACTAACACAGGGACAGAAAACCAAACACTACATGTTCTCACTTATAAGTGGGAGTTTAAGGATAAGAGAACACGTGGACACAGGGAGGGGAACATCACACACTGGGGCCTGTTGGGGGAAGTGGAGGGAGGGGCAGCATTAGAAAGAATGGCTAAAACGTGTGGGGCTTAATATTAAAGTGATAGATTGATAGGTGCAGCAAACCACCATGGCACACATTTATTTACCTATGCATCAAACCTGCAGTCCTGCACATGTGTCCTAGAACTTTAAATTAAATTAAATTAAATTAAATTAAATTAAATAGATAAAAAGTAAATAAAATGCACAGTGCAAAAAAGTCACCCTGTCCTACAGGGCCATGGGCGATCTGGCCTCCTGCTGCTTTCCGAACTTCGGCTTTGATTTCCTCAACTCTCTAGCCTAACTACAATTCGCCTCCTTGCTGCTCCTGGAACAGGCCAAGGGCATCTCTGCCTCAGAGTCTTTGCATCTGCCATTTCCAAATGTTTGCCCCAAGGGAGTTTGGTAACTTGATTGCTCACATTACTTAGGTCTGCTTGAATGTCACAGATGTTCTCTTAAGCAAGAGGCAAGAAAAGCCACTTTATTATTTATTAAACTCCCACATAGAGTGCAGTATTACTGTATGACAGACCCTGCCTCAAACACATTCCATGCACTAAAAAATTGCATCTCTGAGCAGCTCCATGGAGCTGGTAGTAACAACTTACATTTACTGGGTGATTGCCATGTGCCAGATATTGAGCTAAACATGTTGTAAATACTAACTCACTTAATCCTCATAACAATCCCATGAAGTAGGTACTGCTATTATCCTGGCTTTACATCTGAAGCACAGAGGGTTAAGTAACTTGCCCCATGTCATCCAGCAAGAACGAAATTTGAACCCAGAGCTTAGCTACTGATGCCACTTGAGAGAAGGAGTCAGACTTGAGTCTTTGAAGGTGGTTAACCAGGCATTTGTCAGAGCTAAGAGGGAGAAGTAGGACAACCTTTTCAAGGCAGAGGGCATTGTGTGCACACAGGTATAGAAGCGGGCACTCCACCCTCATTCTTTCCAGGAAGCAAATGTGGCGCAAGTGCAAGGCACACGTTGCTGAAGTTAATGGAGGGAGTATAAGGATGTACTCTCCGTTGCCTTAGGACACCTGCAGAGGATTAAGAGGGCTGTTTCTCTCTGTGGAGTGGTTGGGTCACTGCACAGGAACCTATAGTTGTTAGTCTTTTAAACTCTTATTGGTTTAACCAGCCACGGAACTCTGAGGCAAGGGGTTGGGGGTGGGAAGGGAAACAGAGAAAAGGCAAGTGAAAGAGAAGGGGAGGTGCAGTTTCAGAACCCGGCCCGCCTTGCTCCTGCTGCCTAGCCTCCCACCAGCCTCATCTTCGCCCAGCCGACCCCTCCTGGAGCCCTATGGCCAACTGTGAGTTCAGGCCGGTGTCTGGGGACAAACCCTGCTGCCGGCTCTCTAGGAAAGCCCAGCTCTGTCTTGGCGTCGGTCTCCTGGTCCTGACCCTCGTCGTGGTGGTCGCGGTGGTCGTCCCGAGGTGGCACCAGCAGTCCCAGCGCTCGCAGTGGGGAGGGCGGGGCACCACCCACCGCTTTCCGGAGATCGTCCAGGAGCGATGCGTCAATTACACTCAAACCCTCCATCCTGAGATGAGG